CCCCCCCCCCAAAAAAAAAAAAAAAAAAAGGAGAGAAAAGCTAGTTGCATATATTCTCACAGTCAGAAGTTTTTTCCCAACAAATCAGAAGATTAAAAAATAGAGACACAGTTACTTATCAAAGAAACAAAAAGAAAAGAAATAGAGAGACGGTTAAAATTATCATTAGGGTAGAATGCATAATCAACTGCACATGAAGAGGCATCTTATTTCTATACCAACTTAATCGTCAAGGAGCAATGTGAGTTTCTCAAAGCATGTCGATTGAGGAGATTTAACTGACAAGTAGGAAAAATCAAATATTTTTTTTTAATAAATCAGATAACCATTTCATTGAATATGCACCAAGTTGATGCCAAAAAGTTAAAATAACTTAGCATTAAGCTTTCATACAGTCAATCCAACTATCTATATAAAAAGGAATGTTTTCTGCACCCAAAATTTATAAGTAAAATTAGAGCGAACTCTTGATTTTCAGTGTTGGATTTACAACTCCTTCAAACATCTTTTTGTTGTTTACTCCAACATAATATAAGACCAACTTACGACGATACATCTCTTCCTACTCGATTTATGCACTCCAAGCCAAACCAAAAGTAGGGGCAGTTACACATATCACAGAACGAGCAACAAAGAACAAAATGTCGCAGACAATGGACATACACTCAAACGGACTATTTCTTGTGAAATGGCGAGTATTGATTTGGTTAGTCCGGGATTTGAGTTCCCGAAAGCTAGCTCCCCGAGCACCACGGGGTCATAGTTTAAAACTCGGAGGATAATGCAGCCACCCCTCTATCCTTCTTCGCTTAAATACAGTTTTGGTTTGCAGCGGGGTTCCTACCCGTGATATGCGCTTAACCTACACATCATGTGATACGGTCTTACCACTAGACCAAAGTCTTGGGGACATATCAATATGAGTTTATCTGCACCACATTTCCAATTTGTCGCTTCTTCAATATGAAATCCTACCAAATCTGTGACTTCTTCAATACAATGGGATATAAGCAAATAGGTGAATCATTCGATCTACATTTTATATTTTTAAGGAGAACTCTACCTTCTCTTAAAAATCATAGAATATTCTTACAAGTTAAAATAGAGAGACATTCCATTGGTATGTTGATTTGAACTCACATGACTTTCTTTCTCTGCTTTCAAGTCCGATTGATGGATCTCTTGTTATTGATTGTTCATATACCACATCGCAGTCTTCAATTAAACCTTTACTCATTGATATTAGCCATCTTTTCCCCATGTTACATGGATTTGAAGCTTTGGGACAAGAATTAAAGGCCCTTATTTGGCAAAAAAGGAGAATGGTAGCTTCGTAATAAAATCCACTCCTTGCTTACGTTGAGTAATAGGATGAGCATTTCTAATGAATCTCATCCGAAGACGAAAGAACTTCTACTCTCTGGAAGGATTGTGGCATAAGAAGCGGTACTTTGGGCAAGAAAATTATCTTATTTTGAGCCTTGATAACCAATGCTTTATGTGTGAAAAGTAGAAACCATGGAAATTTTTTAGGGTCACTTTTTTGAGCCTTGGTAACCAATGTTTTAGTGTCATTTCTAATTACCTTGTTGTTGCTATTGTCTGTTTATTGCTTCATTTTCGCTTCTCTTGAGCCGAGGGTCTTCCGGAAACAACATCTCTACCGTCATAAGGTAGGGGTAAGGTCTACGTACATTTTACCCTCCCCAGACCCCACTTGTGGGGTTTCACTGGGTTTGTTATTGTTGTTTTGGGCAGAGAAGTAACTCGGTTTGATGATAAGGGGACATTAGAGAAGGACGAAGGAGCATGGAAGCCAATTTTGAACATGAGAGGCTTATAATTCAAAGGAGATTTCTTTCCAAACACCTGTTTTAGGAGGTGGCGCCAGGGATCAATAAATATTTCATCAGTAAACATCAAGTTGGTGGGAAAATTTATTTATGAGTAGTGCATACTACTCAACACGAGTCATCCACACTTCTCCATCAAGCTTAACCGTCAACACATGGTATTCTCTCGCCAAATATACAAGTGGAATTAGAAGCTCTTTTAAAGCTTTCTACATCATTCAGACTAGTTGGAAAAACTGCTTAATAGCCAACCAACTGGGCTGCAATGATTCCCCGTCACTTAAGATTATGCCCTATTCTTTCCATATTAATCCTACTGGCTTAATGGACCCTAAATTAAGGTGGGGTTTACCTTACATTTTAAAGTAGCATCAGCTATCACGCTAAATTTTGGCACTTCCAGCTATGTTTTCTATGATATATGTGGAACCAGAAGTGGCAGTAGGATGAAGGCAATAGTTGGAAGCAACTATATTAACTATCAAAATGGAAAGCAGATCAAATCAAAATGCCTAATATTTCTGAAACTAGTATACAAACCTCGTCAGTAGCATCTTCAGGTTATACCCTGTTCTTATATATTCATCTTTCTTGCTTGAATAGGAAACCTTTTTAGATAAGTTCTTGAGTAGGAAACCTATATATCTAAAACAAGTAATGTGCAAGTACCAATTAGAATTATCAAGCAACTTTGATAGGTTATACTGTATTCTTGCATATTCATCTTCCTTACTTGAGCCGCAATCTTAAGCATCTCGATTCCTTTCATCGATGGCCCTTCACTACCATTTCAAGACACAGATTTATAGGAATCTATTCACGCCCAATATTGATCACATCCATTTGTTTCCACCCTAGTCTCATTGATATCTTGAAAACAAAATTTGAACTGGTCTATAATTTACTTACAAGTTACAACTGTACTTAACCATAAATCTAGGGTTGGATTCTATTCACTCGCACGCTTATTCTTAGCACTTTCAACTTTGTGTTTTGTGATTCATGTGGCCACAAAAACGAGGGTAGGAAAAAAAAAAACAATAGTCACTTAAAGCAATTCTATGAAATAATGTGTCTATAGCAAATAGAACTGTCAAACAGACCTTTCAAGGCATACCCGATCCTAACATATTCATTTAATTTTTTTACAGATTACATTGGGGTTCGCACGCACCTTGACTGTTGCACAAGGTATCTGATACCTCTCGCCAACACATGTATCAGATAACTTTGCCTATCAAGGTTTAGGCTGATGGGAAGAAATCGCTTAGCGTTTTTTGTCTGTGCTGAGAAGAAACCCTGGTCTCCAGGTTTTCGCCCACCTCATTGATCGCTACACCCTTAGGTGCTACTTGAATTGAATTGGAATCTTAAGCAGCCACCAATCCAATTCGATGACAGCTCTTACTTTAGAGTCTATAATTAAGATTCAAATTCAGCTCTTAATATTGTTTATAATTTACTTACTGGCTTGATCGCATTTATTAGGGTTTTTCTTTATTGGCACACTTATTCTTGGCACTTTCAGCTTTATTTTCTGTGATACTAACTGGAACAAATTCTATGAAATAAATCAACAATATAATTCATATAACAACTAATATTAAATAACAAGCTTTTTTTTACAATAGTAATAAACACAAAACCTGGTCGTCAACAGCATCGTCTTCGTCGTCAAGGAGATCGAATGGATTCCGAAAGGTAGCGGAAGAATGAGGAGGCGATTCAGATTCAGATTCTTCGTTGTTGTTGATGAGTTGTTGAGGCTCAGCTGGTTGTTCCTTTTCTTTCAAGATTTTTTTCATCAAACGAACCGACATTCTTTCACGGATTGCAAGAGCTAAGACGTTTCCCCAAATTCAATTGGCTCTTTACAGCCGCCCAATCTTTATTTCTTCCTTCGTTTACTTCTTTCTGGTTCTGTGTTTTAGTTGCGCAACAATTCGGAGCCTTAAAGCTAATCCAAGGTTTATATGCTAGTGCCAACTGCCAGGTGTAAAAGAATTGATGCAACTCGGCTAGGCCATTTTTCCTTTCTTTTTTTCTACTTGGGGTTAGCTTGGTTGGAAAACAAGTCACCACATTTATAATAGAGGGATTAGTAATACAATAACAATAACAATAAATAATCCCACAAAGTAAGATCCGGATAGGTAGAATGTTCGCACACCTTACCCCGACCTTTATGAAGGTAGAGTAGTTGTTTCCGATAGAGCTCCGGCTCAAAAAAAATTTAAAAGAGGCCGACACAACAAGTAGTAATAATAGCCAGATAAAGGGATAAGGTGATAGTATAATCAAAGTGAAAGAAATAGCATACAACAAAAGAAATCTGCGGATAGGAAGATACGAGATTAATATTAATGCTACCGGCATGAAAAGGAGATGTGCAAGCCTAACTGCTAACCTTCTACCCTATTTTCAACGCGCATCTGTCTATCAAGGGTCATGTCCTCACTAATCTGGAATAGCGTAATGGCATGCCTAATCACTTCTCCCTAATACTTCTTAGGCCTAGCTTTATCGCTCATAAGTCCCACCATAGTCAATCTCTCACACCTTCGCACCGGTGCATCTACACCCCTCCTCTTCACATGAACATACCATCTCAGCCTAGCTTCATGCATCTTGTCTTCCATGGAGGTCACTCCTACCTTGTTCCGAATGTCGTCATTCCTAATCTTGTCTCTCATGGTATGACCACACATTCATCTTAACATCCTTATTTCTACTACTTTCATCTTACATACATGGATGTTCTTGACAGGTCAACTCTGGTCCATACAACATAGTCGGTCTAATCGCCACTCTATAAAGCTTTCCTTTAAGTTCTGGTGGCACCTTCTTATCATACAAAACTCTGCAAGCTAACCTCAATTTCATCCATCGGCTCCAATTCGATGTATGACATCCTTGTCAATCTCTCTATTACCTTGGATAATAGATATGAGGTACTTGAAACTCTCTTTCTTGGAGATGACTTGTGAATCTAGCTTCATATCACGTCGTTTTCAGGAGTCACCTCGCTGAATTTTGCATTCCAAGTACTGTGTTTCAGTCATGATCAACTTGAAACCTTTACATCCAGGGTCTATCTCCAAACCTCCAGCTTCGTGTCTGGTCAATTAGTACTATATCATCCGCAATATGAGATGCATCATGGCATATCCCCTTGAACGTGCCATGTCAAAACATTCGTTGTCAAGGGAAAGAAAAATGGGTTAATCGTGGATCCTTGATGCAATCCTACCATGACTGAAAATTGTTTCGAGTCTCCTTCCACCGTTCTAACCTGGGTTATATCGCCATCATACATGTCTTGATCACTTTAGTTTATGCTACAAGCACCTTTCTAGCCTCCATAATTCTCCAAATAACCTCCCTTAGGACATTATCATAAGCTTTCTATATATCAATGAACATGTACAAGTTCCTCTTTATGTCCCTATATTTATCCACTAGTCTCCCAATAAGGTGAATGACTTCAGTAGTCGAACGCCTCGGCATGAATCTGAATTGGTTCACCAAATAGATATATTTCTCCTCATCATCCTCTCTCAAAATTTTATAATGTGATTTAGCAACTTGATACTACTATAGTTTTTGTAATTTTGGATATCACATTTATCTTGTATACCGGAACAACTATACCCCGCCTTCATTTTTCAAGCATCTTCTCCATCTTAAAATGACATTAAACAACCCAGTAAGCCACTACAAGACTGCTCTGTCTGCATCCTTTCAAAATTTCACAGGGATCTCGTCTAGCATGATCGCTATACCTTTGCTCATTTTGCGCATAGCCCCCCAAACCTCTTCAACTTCAATACGACTGCAATACCCAAAATCATGACTACTCTAGGAATGCTCCAAGTCCCCTAGCACAATTTTCCTGTTCCTCTCTTCGTTCAAGAGTGCATGAAAGTACGTCTACCATCTTCGTCTAATATGTGTGTCATCCACAAAAACCTTGTCATCTTCGTATTTGATGCACTTCACTTGATCTAGGTCACGAGCCTTCATCTCTTGGTCTTAAATTCTTCATACAAACGTCCAAACGTTGCAGTTTTAGCCTCCATAATATCTAACTTCGCATCTTCTTAGCCTTTTTATACCCTTCCCTATTCATACCCCTCTCCTCCTCGCATTTGCTCTCCACTAGCTTCAAAATACGCCATTTTCTTAGCTTTCACTTTTCTTTGAACTTGTCCATTCTACCACCAGTCTGCTCTGTGTCTACTAGGTTAACCATTTGAGACTCCTAATACCTCTTTAGCCGCTTTCCGAATGCAATTTGCTATCGATTTCCACGTAATATTCGTGTTCCCATTGCTCCTCCAAACCCCCATTGTCTGCAGCTTCTCCCACAAAAATTATTTCTTGTTATATATTTGGTTATTGTAGAAAGCAATACGTATATTAGTTGTACATGATTCAAAATAATAAGGCAATACCAAATTCAACACCATAATATTTCATCAAATACCTTAAATCAAACAATTCATTTGGAGGTTAGGAGAAACGATAGATAATGGGAAATGGGCCATGAGATTGGATCTTATTCTATGGAAGGTCGTGCGAAAAGCGAAACTTGAGTCAAGCCAAATCGAGCTTACTAAATATTAAGTCGGGTCGAGCTTAAATGATCTTGCTATAATATCTAGTTAAGATGAGTTGATCTGAATCAAGCTCGAGCTAACTCTTTAATTGTAACACACGGGAAAATTTTCAAATGTTTAAGGCCTCGTTAGAAGGTATTGATCGCTAAGCGTATTATTTGTAAGCTAACACAAACTACGATTATGGATAAATCCATTTGGGTATGCGGACATGTATTGTACATTATTTGAAGGGTGTTAGAAGTAGGGAGAAGTAGCTTGGAACCAGTTAGAATTGTTGAAGGAAAAAAGATGCCCAAAGTCGCTCTTGACCTAATTTAAAACGAGCATATCTCCTTTGTGTATAATAAGTTATGCTTTGTATAAAGTATCAAACTAGAATTCTTTGAGTCTAGATTCCAATGGTTTAAATCATTTACCATTTGGACTTTTGTATGAAAGGTTATTTACAATTTACTTAACATTGTCCAACATACGCGCCCGACTGCACGACCGCGTACCTGAGAGTGCACTTGAAGAAGTTGGCTGCCCCAAGTGCGCGACCAGATGATTTGGGGTCAAATTTTATGAGTTCTTTGGGGCTTTTGAAGAGAATTTCGACCAAGGCTTCACTTAGATCATACAAGGTGAGTTTTTATCCAAGTTTTATGTTAATTCAAGATTATTAACACTAATAGTAACAAGATTCAACCGTGGAATTTGTTAGATTCTTCCAAATCCTCCAAGAACAAAAAAATGGAAAATTTCAAGATTTGTCTTCAAGAAGTAATCCCACTACTCAATCTTCATGTATTGTGTATAACCAAGGTAATTTGGAGTAAAAATCATGATTTGGTTAAGTTGGGAGATGAAACCTAGAAATAGTTATTGTGAATAAGATTGACTCGTGGGTAGAGATGATGAATAGTGTCAATTTGGTAAAAATGAGTTACTCTTTATAATCTTGTGGGCAATTCAATTATTGAATTTTGTATTGTTGTGTATGCAATGAAAAATTAAGAGTTAAACTCAAGAACTCACTTTTGTAGTGGAAATATCGATTTTTACTGTACTTGTAAAGTTGGACATAAGTATTGAACACTTAGTTGACTTTGTTGATGTTATCATAATATGTCGTTGATGAATATGAGTTGTTATGTAGATATTGTCTTGTTGGCAACGTTTGAGAGTTCTAAATGAATTGGAGCTTTATAGTACTATTTGGAGCTTGGACTTAAGGTAAGTTGATTAAAACTTACTCTACTTGAGGGATTTTATCTAAACACATAGTTTGACTTGATACATGAGATTGTCCGTAAATGTGCATCTGTATTTGTTGGGACAAACGGGAAAGAATGTCACCATGGTCTTTGAGTCTTGTTGCATATGAAATGGTGTCATATTTTTTGTTGTAAAATCTTATTTTTCAAAAACTTATTAACAAATGACACTTGAGGCAAATGTTATACTCCCTCTATTTTAATTTATCTGAACATATTTGACCAGGCACGAGGTTTAAGAAAATAGAAAGAAATTTTGAACTTGTGGTGTAAAATGAGGCACATATATATTTTGTGTGGTTATAAATTGATTACGCCCAACTATGCCTTATAAAAAGGACAAGCGGTCATTGCAAATATAATCTGAGTATTTAGCTCAGAATCGAATCCCACAGGGAATTAACCTACCAACTACTTTTGTCAGACTCACTGAATTCTCCGTAATCAACTTCCCATATATATTTTGAATAACACTTGGTGATATTTCTACTAACTATAATTGAATAAAATTAAGTAAACTAAAAGCTAACTATGACTGAGTTGTAAACAAATAAGAGAAGGATCTAAGGTTGTGATTTTCCCTATTGATGGAATCCCTTCCTGTTATGTTTCGTATAGATTTTCATAATCGTCTCTATCGATCATGAGCATTCTTACTACCGTAACTCTCTCCTGAGTAATTATGATAATTTACTAGACGCACTCTCCCGAGTTACGCTAGCTGGCTTTTATTACAGCTCACTTAGATTGCACCCAAGATTATTGATTTTGGCCACGTTTGGCCCATTCTAGAGTGGATCAGCTATTTATTTATTCTTTTCTTTCTTCTTTCACACGTACTCAACTCTGAGGGGCTTTTCTTGCTTTAATTTAGCTCCAAACACTGTCCTAAGTCCTTATAAGCATGACTTGCTACTGCAAAACATAAAATTCACAATTAGAGCCATTTTATCGTCATTTAACCTTCCTAGAACATTGAAGTGTAGTCAAGTTGGGGCATAAATAGTCGCCAAACTACATGAATCTAACCTATTATCAACATCCCACACTTAAATCATTGCTAGTCCCCGAGCAATCCACCATACTCTACAAAGGTTCCTTCACTAAGTTTTTCCCTAACGTATCACACCAAGAACATATCA